GAGCAGTTTATTATCATGGATGCCGATGGGGAAGATGCGCCGTCGGCCATACCGGAGCTGATTACCCATACCGGTACCGATATTGTGCATGTGGTACGCGGCAAGCGGCAGGAGAGCACCTTGTTTAAAGTGTCTTATGGGATCTATAAGGTGATCTTTAAAACGGTGACCGGCAAGCGGATGAACTTCGGGAACTATTGTATGATCAGCCGCAAGATCCTGGAAAGCGCTATTTATCATACATTCACCCACTTCGCGGCCTTCCTTTCCAAGCAGCGGGGAACCAGGGAACAGATTATTGTGGCCCGCGAAAAGCGGCTCGATGGCGTTTCGAAAATGAGTTTTAAAGGACTGTTGTCTCATGCCTTCAAATCCTTTGTTGAGTATGGCGAAGACATGCTGCTCATCTTTCTGAAGTCTTTTATTGTGATCATGATCCTGTTCATCCTAGCGATCAGCAATGTGATCTACCAGAAATTTGTGGCCAATACCGCCATTCTTGGCTGGGCAAGTGTGGTAGCCATCGGGCTGCTGAATATGGCTATTATCTCTATTGGCTTTTTTGTGCTGGGCATTCTGCTGCTGAACCTGAGTAACCAGAAAAACCCCAATCTCAAGCTACCGCTTTATGATGAAGTTGAACCTAACTGAAACGAAGAACAGTAACCGGCTTTTTTACTATGTGCTGTTCCTGTTTGCGCTAACGCTGTTCCTGCGTGGCGTGATCGTGGGTATTTATAAGCCCGACTGTGGTGGCTCTGAGGAAAACGTGGTGTATGGTATTCAGCGTATCCTGATGGGGCAGCCCTTATACCAGAACCCTTCGCTACCCGATTATGGTATTATCCAGTACACGCCTTTGTTTTATCATATTGTTGCCGGCGTTGCCGGAATGCTGGGTATTAAGTACTCGGATGTGCAACAGATCTACCAGGTAGCGCGTGTGTTGAACATTCTTTTTAACCTGCTGAGCATTTTGTACCTGGCGGGCATCATTAGTAAATGGCGGCTCCCGGGCAGGCAGATCCTTACGTATTCCTTACCGGTCATTATTATTCTTTCTTCCGAATATTATGCGCGGGTGGATAGTTGTCACCTTTTATTTTTCACAGCGGCTATCTCTGTATATGTGCGTTACCTGCATGAAGGCGGCTGGTGGCGATTGTTTTTTGCGGCGCTGCTCTGCGGTGCCTGTGTGATGAGTAAGCAGAATGGTATCTTATCCATCGGTATTATCGGCTGTTCACTCATCTTCCTGGAGCGGAAATGGATTGCGGCTTTTTGTTTTGGTGTGTTGGCTGTTGCCGCGGCTGCCGGTATTGCCTGGTTGTGCAATGGAAATGACTGGATGGCTTTTTACCAGAATCCTTACCTGGGTGTTAAGAATGGGGTCAGCTTTGCCTGGTTATACATCATCTTCGTCAGCCAGTTTTATTATGATCTTATCCTGTGTTATGTCACTGGTTTTATCATAGCCTGGCTGGCCTTCCGGAAGCTGGATGATAAGTTATACCGGTTTGCAGCGCTTGGGGCTGTCATCT